TAGAAATTGACAAACCATTTCTTGGATTTTCCCTGTACTATCTCTGCGAGAAGAGTTTTATCTATCGCGTACTTTTTAGAATCCTACCTTTTGATTGTCAAAATTTTGTAGGCATAGAAGTAAGGAATCATAGACCGCAGTAAATTTGATGTTTAGATTTTTTTTGTGTAGTAACCATCACGGAGTCTGCATAAAGAAAAAAGAACGAGCGATGTTTGTCTCAAATGTTTCAAAAAGTCCCACCAGCAAAATGTCTCCCTTCTGTTTTCGATGGCTCAAGATTTCTACTTTGTTCCGCAGATGTTTGTGAAGTTTTTCGAAGTCTCTGGTGAAATAATGCTTAATTTCACAGTTGTAAAATTATCCAGGTACATACACTTTTCTGCTTTTACTACGTCAGAATAGTTTGACTTACCACATTTCATTGGAAAGAGAAAAATTAATTGAATGCAAACATATTTCTGTCTATCGAAAACTATGAAATCTTACTCATAATAAAGATTAATTAAAACTAATATGTTATATTGGTTTCCTATATTCTTGGCTGTTTCATTACGAAATAAGACTAACGATCGCCACCTCATTTTTTTTCTGCAGTTGATATGACGAAGAGCATTGTTTTCGTTCTGTTTTTTCCCTCACAACGCGCATACCTTCATAAAAAATTTCGGGTATACAACATCACAGAACACAAAAAAATAGATTGTTTTTTCTTCAGTATAAATAACACATGAAACAAATAGTTGTAATCATGGTGAAGCATAGGCACATTGTGTATCAAAGTACTTTAATTCGTAAAGAGTTCGATTCTCAATAATGTGGTATTTTTTATAATGAATTCGGATGTGGCTGTCAGTGTAGAATTTTCTTCATTGCCACTCACTCAGCCACAGCGACACCGTTGAGTAAGATGAGCAAGCGCCTTCATTTTCTTAACACATCCATAAGCACATCCTGTTGTGTTCAAACCTCAGTATAATCATGCATGAAATGTCCTTAGACAAGTCTTTAAAGAGTAGTTCCTTCAAGCAACGCATTCGATAGTGTTAGTGATGGGCCGCCCAGCAATTTTTAAATTTTAAAATTTGCGAAAAGTCGCGTAAATGAAACGATAGTTACGAAACCTATGCGAAAATAGATCCCTACCGTGATCTACTAGACTCTTTTGTTACTCTTTCGTGACTTCGTATTTTCTTACGTAACATTTTGTTTGTTACGAACCTCTTACGGCCCATCACTAGTTTCTAGATTCAGATAACAAGTATTATTTTTTAAACATAACTATAGAAAAACCAAACATCTATGAAACGTCGAAATAGCCATAAAGATTTATCTAAATAACTGAGTGTTCATTTAAAAAGTATTTTCTTTGAGAAGTTGCGTACTTGTCTACCTTCATTAATGGGAAACAGCTCCACACCGTCTTAAAAAGTATTAAGAATGCATTTCGCATATTTTTTAATAATCCCGAAAGACGATATCATATATTTATGTACAATGGATTTCGTTATACGTAACACGGTTCCATTGATAGATACTGTGCCAATGGGCATATCATCGTCTGTGATATCTTTTCTTTCTCAGTATGTTGCTATGCAATCGATGTTACGTAGTGTTCACAATCGCGTTACTCTTACGTTTATCTATGCATGATTGAGCCTTATTCTTTTTCTATCGTAATGTGCTTCTCACTTTGTATCATCTGTCACTCGTATATTATATATATTGTCCTCACCTGTCTATTCTTACGTTGCTGTCCTATCTCTATTGGTCTTCTATATATGCTCTCTCCTTGGCCTCATCTCCTTTCTCTTCATCATCGCTTATTCTACTCGTGAATATAAGCGTGTGCTTTATATGTAAACGATACGATTGTATGATATGAGGGAATAATCTAAAGTATAATACGATCAACACTAACATCACTTCTGTCATTAATGGTCACAAGACGATTAAATGATATGAAGGAAATAAATAAAGTGTAAGACCATCTCTCACACTAATGTCTCTTCTAGCAGCATTTCTTTTTCGTTGCAGATATCATCAGATTATGTTGAAGAAATCGGATGATATTCGACGTTCGGATACTTCAGACAAGTAAATAATAATGATAACATCCGACAATTGAATCTTACTGCGTGTCTACTGCGCAACATGCTTCAATACTTTGAGGATCTCATTCGATTCAATTCTATAACTTTGATCTGAACGAATTTAATTATCCTTCAAGGACATTTTCGGCACGACTTACAGCTATAACCAAAGGAAAGCTTTGCAAAAAATGAAAGAGTTTTGTTTGCCGCATTACAAATAAATCTGACCATATTTTTGGAATCCAAAAAATATCTCATCTAGTCCTTCCTTTTTCTTTGTGTTTTACACATTCTGATAATACTAAGAAAATTTGAACGACTACTACGTATGGGTAGCCCTGAAAAAATTCAAGGTAGTATGCTAAGGTGGCAATCTCGAACTGACACTGCCTATATATATTAGCATTAAAATAATGCTAAATTAATGTTAAGAGGACATCTCTATCCGAATGATAAAATATGTTCAAGAAGAATGACAGAAAACAAGAAAATTTTCATAGTAATTTATTTGATCTGTCTTCTTAATCGTTTATTTTCAATTAAGATAACGAACAAACATTTAGAGATTTGAAATAAAAAAGAATTTTTTATTATTTTTCTAATAATTATTTTCTCTCTTCTTCCTCGAATAGTTTCTTGTTTTAAAACGTATTTATATATATATTGAAAAATTGACAATTCGATCGACTTTCTTGTTTGATATTATTATTTACAAAATCATTTAATCTTTCTTTTATTTAAAAAACTGATGAATATTGGAAAAAGTAAAGTTCTCTATAAAATTCTTCAAGAACAAAACCTTTGAAATGTGTGTTTTTTTTTGTTTGCTAAAAATAAAAATAAAATATTTTTATTGTTTATCGATAGATTTTTCGAATAATATATAATATAATGTTATATCAATGTATTATTTATTTAAACTAAATATATTAATAGATTATTAATTTATCTTATGGATAGAATCATTTCATAAATATAGATAATGGATTTAAACATATATTAATAAATCTTATTCGTTTATTATCTATTATAATAGAATTCTTTCAGTCAAACATTTATTCATTTAATAGATATTCGATAGTTGATTTATATATGTTAATATAATATATTTAAATAAATGTTAATCTATGATATCATATTAATGAATTATTTATGATCATATGAATAAACAAGAATTTTATTTTTATTTTTATTTTTATTTTTAATTAACATTTAAATATAATAATATATTCGACATTAATTACATATTGAACAAATTGGTTTTTTAATCTTCAGATTAAAATCTGTCTGGGAAGAAAATGTTCCTGTAAAACGACGAGTTCGTCGATCATTATAAAATATTCCAACACCAATTTGATCCATTGGGATTTTACCTAAGATAAATCATTTATTTATATATAGAGAGAGAGAAAGAGCAATCGAGCAGCATTATTTATTAAATAATATTAATCAATAAATCATTAATAATATTTAATAAAAAATTAAATTCGACAATAAATAAATAATAATTTCAAAATATTTCTCATAGATTTTGATAAATATCTCTTGAATAAAACTCAACAAGTTGAATATTAGATTATTGAAATAAAATAAATAAAATAACATATTTCGACAAACTAGACATATATTTACTTATTTTTTTTCTTTTTTAAGTTTTAGCATTGATTTAAATTGAAATAAAATATGATCAATCGTTAGAAAATTGACAAAAAAAAACAAAAAAAAAAATGAAAAATATTTACACTGGAATAGCAGCACATATGATAAATAATGTCTTTAAATGTCATGAGAGATATATGTTTATATTATATATTTACATTGAGAAAAGAGATTTAGGTTTTTTGTTTATCAATAAATAAAAAGGTTATTTTGAATTAAATTAAAAATAAATGTTAAATCTCAAATAAATAAATAAATAAATAAAATTATGTTTGACATAAATCACAGCCTTTAATTGATTTATTTCTCGATTGATGATCATCAAGAGAATTTTCAGATCGATTATTAGCAGTTGATAGAGCAGATTGAATGGCTGAATTTATTTTATATCGATCAATACTACCTATTTAATTAAATTAATTTAATTCATCTGACTCTTTATTAATTTATAATTAAAATACCTGAATCAATTTTGTTTAATATTATTTGAGCACATTGAAGAAAAGATTCATATATATTTTCACCTGTCATTGCAGATGTTTCAACAAATATTAAATCTTAAATAAGAAACAAAAAAATTAAATTCAAAAGAAAATTAAAACAAATTGACCATTATCTTGTGCAAATTGATTAGCTTCAATAAAAGTAACTTGTCTTTGATCTTCTAAATCTTTTTTATTTCCACATAAAATAATAACTATATTTGAACTTGCTAATTGACGAGCATCAGATAACCAATTAGCAATAGTATTATAACTTTCTCGACTTAAACAAAATATTTTTTTAAATAAGAATTAATTATTATATGACACAATACTTTGTTATATCATAAACTAATAAAGCACCAGATGCACCACGATAATAACTACGTGTTACTGATCGAAATCTTTCTTGTCCAGCAGTCTTTTCAATAAACGAATAAAAAACAAAAAAAATAAATAAAAACGTTTTATTCTAAACTGAACATACATCCCATATTTGTAATTTAATATTTTTTTGATTTATATTTATTATTTTTGAACCAAATTCAGCTCCAATTGTATGTGTTACATTGGTTTTAACTAAAATAATATATATAAAAATATATTAGGATTTAATCAATTCACTTTCTTTTTTTTTATCAAACATTTATTTTCAATAAATTGATGTAAAATACATGTTTTTCCCGTTGATGCACAACCAATTATTAAAAATTTTAATAAATATTCTTCAATTAAAATAAGATAAATAAATAAATAAATAATATAATTAAAAATTACCATATGTATCATTTGGTTGAGACATACTTTTTTTTTTATTTATGTCAATGAGAGAAAAATAAAAATAAATAACGTCGAACAATAATGATTAGATTATATTCACGAATCTTTTTTTTTATCGGTTATAATAAGACACAAATAAAAATGAGTAAAGAGAACTAGCGACATTAATTATACACGTGCCTTTTTTTTTGTTCTTCAAAATTTAAAATGATGACTGTCAACGAGAATTAAACAAATAATATTATTATCAATCTAGCTATTACAATGTAGTTACACTCAATTTATATTCAATCAATAATATTCAGATATATTTATTCTATAATAATAATAAAAATCTCTGACGAAATTATTTTGTTATTATAGAGATTAATCAAAGAATAATATTCTATCTAATATTATAGAGAAATTAATATAAACAAGATTGACTTTATTTTTGATTATTTATTTCATATTCATATATATATACAATAAATACACACGAAACAGATAAATACCTATTTTGCTCCTGTTTGACTTTGTTTATTCAATGATCTAACATAAAACTGTTTTCTAGATAAAATGTTGAATTGATATGTCTTATTTATTTTAATAATATAAATAAAAAAAAAAGTAGAAGTTAAATATCTATGTAATAGTATTATTATTTATTGAGATAATCGAATATTAAACAAATTATTTTCTATTTCGAAGATAAGCTATTTTACGTATTATTTCTATTCTTTTTTTGTTTTCTTGATTGTTATTTTATTTTTTACATTTATTTTGGTATTTAATATAAATTAATATAATATTCTTCTTATTAAAATATTGAATTCCAAATGAAATAATCTATTTGTAAATATAAATTGTATGTTTCGATTATATGACAAATAATCATATTGATTATTTTTAAAAAGTTTAACTTTGATAAAATCATACTTTTTATATTGATTTTAAATCGAGTTGATTTCAATAGTAAAAATCATCTTCTTTTATGAGTCCCAAAAGGGTAATTGCTTTCCCTCTTTCGTCAGTTGATAGTGTTATTTATTTTTCTTTACTTATCAAAGTTATCATTTAAACTGTTTCAACCAAATTTCTTCTTTGAATTTAACTTTTGTCAAACTATAAATTCACATTGAACGAAATAATCAGGTTTGTAGAAAATTTTTATTCTAAAGATAAGATTTGATCCTGCGACATATCGATCAATAAAAGTGTTCATATTTAACGTATTTGAATAAGTTCTATTCTATTTAAAAGAGTCAGTGCTAATCTTCAGACTTTTTTCTGTTTCGTATGTTTACGTATTTTTTCTATAAACTTTAAAAGGTTGATTGATAATATGCTATTGATTATAGATGTGTCTACATAGTTTATAATTAAAATGTTTATTCATGGTGTTTCAAAATTAATATTGTTGTTCATAGTCGAGTGTTCGGAAATGAAAGACTATTTTCAAGTAGTGGCGTAACCAAGGTAGGGCCAGGGGGGGCTCAGCCCTACCACCCGACCTTTCAGCCCTACCACCGATGTTAGCATCGTCAGCTGAATCCTTTCACAAGCCCTACCACTCCACAGACCTCAGTAACCTGAGCCCTACCACCGGATATTTAAGCGTTGCTGAGCCCTACCATCGCCAAAACTCTGGTTACGCCGCTATTTTCAAGTAATATAATACTGCAACATCTATGAAAACATGTCAGAGAAAAAGTTTCTACTTGTTCGAGATGCGACCGAACTAGTTTTTTTAGGCACGACACACATCTTTGATTGCTAATGTTGAGCGAACTATATCATTGAAAAGTTACATCGATTACAAATATAAAAAACAAGTGACTTTAACTAACTATTATTTGAATATTATCTTTGTTTTTGGTTTAAATAAGTTGATGATAATAAAACAATCAATTATAATCGTTTAGTTGCAGTTATATTGGAATAAATCATGAAAACTCAGGAAAGTAATACGACTCCGAGTCCTGTAATGGTGAAAGTTTGAATGAAAAAATAAATAATTTATTTCAAAATTTCCTTTATAATTATTAGTATGCACATCAATCGATTTATTTAAAGAATAATTGTCCAAATCAAGTTTTTAAATATTTATTTTAATCGAATTTTCTAATAATTCTATGTTAGATAAATTGAAGATTGCATTAGAAAGATTCCTGTTGTTTTCTTGTTTCTATGTATTTGTTTGAGGACAATGTTAATCGGATGCTTAACGCATTCAAACAAACGTTCTCTTTTTTTTCCACATCGTCCTAAAGAAAACAGACATAGGTTTTTTTTTATGTCAAATGATTGAATGTAATGCATTTTGTCTTCAGATGTCTATTTGAGATACCGACAAAAAGAAGAAACATATCGAAATGCATTATGAAAAATCTAATGACAAGACGACAATAGTTAATTCTTCTAGATCACAACCGGGTCCACAGTGGCTTGTTCATCATCCAAAGATTAGTCGAACTCGATCATATCTTCTTATTATTTTATCTATACAATTGGTGAGTTTATCATTTATCATTTAACATATAAGAAATATATTTTATTTTAATCAAAAAGACTTTATCGTCACAGTGGAATATAATATTTGATTAGCATATTAACATTGATGTATGATAGACAGATATTGTTTATTTTGACATAAAAATAGAATATAATTAACGATTTGTTTGATTAATCTTCTTCTATAATAGGTACATTATGTTCTTTATTTAAATTCTATTATAAGAAGAAATGAAAAACGAAATACAAAAAATATTCGAATAATTTCTTTTTTTAATTTCGAGAGAGTTCATACGTTTTAACTTCGTAGATGTCTTATCGTATGCTCATAATTATTATTGAATAGTTATTTACAGTCTGAGAAAAATGTTTAGATATATTCATAGGATCTTTTCTATGGAATTTAATGATGTTAATCGATGTTTTGATAGGTTATTATTCTGATCAATGGTGTTAGTGGCATACAAGATTGTAAGAACGATAATTCAATTGGTCTTAAGTTAAATCGAAGTTGCAACTTTGCAGTGTCCACAATGTTGGTTGCGATTTTTCTTAATGGGTTCGGACTAGTGACTACTTATAAATATTATCAAACGGGTCTGATGGTGGTATATTAGTTTTTCATACATAAATCATTTTAAATTGATCTTTAGTATTATATTGTTTAATAACTGTTCGTTTTTCTACTCTAGTTTGCATGGTTGAATCTGATTCTTCTAATGATATATGGTATATGTGTCCTATATATTATATGGGTCGTGTTCATAACTTTCACTACATTAGGATTTATCGGTCTTGCAATCGGTACTATGATCTTCTTGGCCATACTTGCCGTCTTGCTTATCAGTACTCAAGTATCTTAACTCGATTTCTCTTTTATTCTTTACGATTTGTATTGTTCATTGTAGATAATTATCACATATTTTGCCTTTCAATTGTCAGACTTAATTGAAACTAACAAATATCTGAATATCGACAACGTCTAATCTTTCCTTTACCCAATTGTATCGATACAACAACAAAAAAACTAAAATAAAAGAGATATTCGATAGAAACGATCTGTTTCAAAGAAAGCAGAAATCAATTTTTATATTGAACGGATGCAAAGAAACAGTAAAAGTCAATAATGAATAGTGACTAGAGTTTCTTAATAAAAGAATAAATATTTGAAATGATTAATTGTATCATCTACATCACTCAACTTAATCTAATATTGATCATTATTCAAACGATGTCTCATATTATTGTCTTGAATTTTCTGTAAATTATAATTCATTTATAGGTATTGGTCTACCATTAAAGTCAATTTTTTCGTTTCAACCTCTTTTTTTAAAATCTTTGTGCAATTAGGAAATATAGATCAATGTTGCTAATGCAAATTTGATGCCATATAATGCAATTTTATTTTGAAAAAATGATATCAATCATACTGTAAAACAAAGAGAATCGTCAATCTCGTATAATATAAAAAAATGTGATACTCACCAATCAAATACGAAAGTTTAATAGACGCGTTTGGACAGAATATTGTCGGTAGGTAGAGTCGTAACAGAGATATTCAATTATCTTTTCAATAAAGTGTTTTTTGTGCCAACCTGAATATTATTTTTTCTTCATCTGTGAAACAATAAAATTTTCTTGTTGAGGTCAATAGTGATGCTTAACAAAGATTCTTAATACTCTTGTCCGTATTTATTTAGAGTGTGAACAAGCCTCTATGATTGGTAATAAAATGCGCTCATTTCAGTGTGGGTAAATCAAATACTCATAACTGTGCCCACACACCCTCATCGACATCCACATCGATAGCCACATGTACATGCACACTCACTCACCCATATCCACGCCCACTACACTTCCAATTCTGATGAATAAGATGATGCAGAGTTATAACTATCTAATGATGATCCTTAAGAAAGGTCAAAACTAGTCGTGGCTTTCCTCTCATGATATTCACTCTTTTGACATAAAAACGTAGCTTTTTTCAACAACGACCATATATGTCTTTAATGTTTTTTTTTATGGTATGAATATAAAAACTAATAAAATATAATAGGCTGTTATATAGCATTTCTTTTTTCTTTTCTGCCCTATACAGTTCCAAGTGTATTAATAGTCATGATTACGATCATTTTTCTTCCAAATTTCTTTCGCTTTATTTGTATTGTATGAAAGCTTTTTTTTTCCAACCATACACAAATTGTTTTCATCGTTAAATGCATCAAAAAGCGTAAAAGAAACTTCTAAACTATTTCGACTAAACCAGCATATTTTTTCCTCGATTCTCTCATATTTTTCTTTGACATATATTCTATGCTCTTATAATTGTCGATCGCACTATAAAAAGAAATTGACTTCGACACCCACCCTCTATTACACTCTTTATTCTCATCATTTGTCAAGTGTAAAAATACCAACCAAAAGCATAAATATACATAACAAAAAGTAAGAAGAAGTCTCTAAGAGAAGCAACGAAAGAAAGTGAGTTATACAACCTTATATATCCTGCGGATTCTACGATCTCTGATGGATTCTAAACGTATCTCACAGGTTCTACATTGTATCCACTTTTTTCTCACAGGAGAGAAGAATATAATACTCTTAAATCCACATCCATTAATATCTTAGGGCTTAAAACTTTGAATTTTTCGGGTGTGGGTGTGACGTGAATGTATTGACAAGAAGTTCCATGGCCACGCCCACATCTTTCTTTCTATTCTTTACACGTTTTATTTAGAGTTGTACGAGAAGAATTATTTTGTTTTTGAATCAACATATAATCAATAAGTAATTGGTCGCCGACGTGCTTCCAAATAGTATGAATAAATAAGATAAACACAATTGATTTTAAACGTTCGTTGCGATTTGATAGTAAGTGAAAAAAAAAATATGGTTTTTCAACCACGATTTGTATCAGCTACCTTATCTAGAAAAAAATCATTCTAAAGTGCATGTTTGCAGCCGTGGTGAGAGTAGAGAGGATTTTTCCTGCTTTTGAAAATTTAATGTTAGTTTTCTGCATTCTTGATGCATTTGCTGAGGTTTATCAAAAATATCTTGGCTATTATTAAAACATTACTCATTAAACATGTTACATAAAATAATTCTTAATCAATGTACATTAACAAAAAAAAAACCAGATAGATGAGACTAAATGTGCAATAATTTTGATCGAGAGTTGTATTATTATTACTTTTTTCAATAGGTCCAAATATAATTAGTATTTGAACACGACGAACATTCGAATCAATAACGCCTGAAAGTTTTAAAGATTGTAAATGCGTTCCATTCAAAGTTCCTAAAACAAAGTCAAATTAAGTGAAAAAATAAATTTTTCGATATAACTTACGTTTATAGACGTTTGCATATCGTAAACCATATAAATCAATAAATCGTAATTCAATTTTCGCATACTCTTTGACAAAACATTGAAAATCTACTGATGCATTATAACGTGCATCACCAGTAGAAATTAGTAAAGTGAAATATTCAAGATTAATATATTGATACATTGATGAATTCTTTTGAGTTGTGACAACTGATTTCATACGAAAATAATATTTGTCATTATTATTTTGATTAGGACGCGCAAATGTTGTAATATATTTTTTGTTAACGACAGTCCAACCGTTCAATATCTTTGAACCATTGACGGTACACTGAAAAATAGAATAATATAAATAATGGTTAATTTCTCTTGATACTCATCTTGTTTTTTATCGTGTTTGTGTTTATTTTTGTTGTATTCTTTGGATCATCATTGGTTCATTTAACTGTCTAATGATCTAAACGCGTAAGTATGAACAACAGCTTAATAATGTCCTTTTATATTCTAATAATACAAACGGTTGGTCAGAAGTTTTGTCTCGATTTGAGTTATACGTTTTTCCATGTTAAAATAAGTATCTGAAACCTTGTTTGTATGATAAAACATTGCAGTAGAACGCACGGTACAAAATGACTAATGTTGATAAGTCATCAACTGAGAAAATTATGCGTTTAGAAAAATAAAAACGAAAATAAATTCGAAAAGGTTTTTCTTATAAGACATAAGGAAAATAGTGAACTGAATATAGCTAATGGATGTTCCAAAAGTTTCGATCTCTCTCAGTAAATCGATGATATCTATAATAGATCTGTATCTATCTAGTTGATAAAAATATGTCATTTTATAGAGTCGAATGGAAACTATCTTTAGAAAAAAAAACAAGTTCAAAATGCATAAAGGTATTATTAAGTTATGAACATTTTACTGATCTTGAGTAAATATTTTTATCTTACACTTTTTTCTAAAAAAATTTTTTTCATAATAGTCGTATTTGTTTTGTTTTCAGAAAAAGTATCTTATAAGATTTATCAATCTAATGTAATAATATGCAGCATAATTGCTGATTATAATTCTAGGATTGTTTTTTCATTAGTTTTATTCCGTTTAAAAGATTTGAGTATTTATATTAAAGTCACGTAAAAGATGTTAGATGCGAATAAAATGAAAATGGGTGTTGATTTTTTTCAATTATGTGATCTTTTCGGTTTGTTTGGGTTGTAGTGTATGTATTGTAAAAAGGCAAATCGATGCATCTGGGTGTGGTTGTGGGTGTGAGTATCTGTGCAACCGTTCTTTTAACACACACCCACACCCTCGTTAGTAAAAATGTCGATGTTTTTTGGTTTTGAATTCAATTTTTATTCAAAAAGACCATGGACTCGATTTGAGTAGTACTACTGTTTATTCAGCCATTCAATGCATCAAGACATACATTTTTATTACAAAAAGTGCCAACGTTTGTTATGAGTGAACGGACAGGGTGTGGGTGTAGATGTGAGTGTCGGTATGGGTGTGGTGTGGGTGCGGATTTCGATGTCGGCGTCGCCGAGAATAAGAGCTATACCTAAACCCACACTAACATCCACACACCTACACCCACCCAAAACAAGATATCAATGGACTACTTCAGGTTTGAAATCGAAAAGGAATGCTACGGGGAAAAATATGCATGAAAAATTGCACAATTTTCATTGATTTTCGCTGTGAAAACTGGAAAAATGACACTCGTTTTTTTCCTGGATGGGTGTGGGTGCGGGTGCGGATGTGGATGTGGATCAAAATATTGCCCACACCCGTATCCAACTTACACCCACACCCTGATCCAAAGGTTAAAAAAATCACTATGAAAACATGTTGTCAGTATAGTTCTTAAAAAAAGCCGGTACAACTAGGGTTAAAGCTGCCCTATTTTGTCGTTCTTATCACACCTTTGCAGTTACATATAAGAATAAGAAAGTGAACTATCACGAGAAGTTTTATGACACATCATACACAAAGAAACAGCATATCTCAAAACACATATTTCGAAGGAGACAACATCAATGTGTAACCAAACGACTCCAAATCGCCTCTGGTTATCGCTGTTAGCTGTGATTCTCATTGTTGCGACTCTCTACGCTGGTTATCAAGCATTCATGTGGAGCTATTGTGATGTATGGTCAGGCTATCAGCGAAATCCTCAGTATTACATTAACGAGATTCCACCATGTCCATGTCGAGTACGAACTAACTGGTCTCAGAACTTTTTGTCGTACCATATAGATCCAATATGTAATGCAAACAAGCAACCCGACACATGTAACAGTCATATAGGCGCCTGGGGTTGTTATCGCAAGCGATCGGCAACAGCGAGCTCTGGTGCCCAGTGTTGCTACGACAAGGAAGGACGATGGTTGGACGATGTATGGAAGGGAGCAGGGACGTTAGATGCCTATGCCACTATAGACAAAAACGGAAACATCGATATTTGTGGTGTTTTCAATCATTGGCGAAGCGACTATCTTTCTTACTACTCATGCTGTCAATCACGTTTCCAATCACGACAGAAATGTAAAAACTACTATGATCTTCGACCACCTGGTCGTTGTCAAGATATGTTACCAGCGCCATCAGAAGGCAAAGGTGCTCCTCACATAAGGAAGCTTGATGATGGATCCTCAGACAGATAAGATCTCTAAAAAGAACGCGTTTACATGTGTTAGAATTTCGTTAAAACGGCGTTTAAACGACACTTTATCGTTAAAATACCGTTTTAACGAATTTTTTAACAGGTTTAATCACGTTAAAGACGCTTGAATGCATTAAAAAGCGTAAAATTGTTCACATTTACCCGTTTTTATTAGTTTATACAGTAGTTTTTACAAGTTTTAATGCATTCAAAATTAGAAACGCTTTTAGACACGTAAAGAGCAGTTGAGAAAACATATTTTTATACATATTTTCTTGAATAAGTTTTACTATGTTCAACAATAAATCGTTATTTTCATTTTTTAAAATAAATAAAGTATTTAAATTTGTCCCTTCATATCCGTTAAAATGCAGGATTTTTAGTCTGAGAAGTTATGCTTATAGCTAGAGTGTGGGTGGGTGTGGGGTGTGGGTGTAGGTGGGTGTGGCTGTGTGGGTATGGGTGTGGGTGGATGTGGAGCTGGGCGTAGGATCGTTTTAATCACATCCCCAGCCACAACTACATACCCGCACCCTCACCCACACTCCACCCTCAAATTTTATTTCAAGAACATGAAAAAAAAATGTCATTTCTAATGATGAAACGAACATTATTTTAATGGCATTTTGTTAACTCTTAAGTCACTGAATAAAGTGTGAGCTGCAATGTTCTTTTTGGTAAAAATAAATCATTTTGAGTTTTGACATAGTTGATAGTACCATTGTCTGACAAGGTTCGATAGAAATAGAGAAAAATCAATTTAAAATTTTCAATAGTTCTGCTTTTTAAAAAATTTATTTTCATTGGTTTCGTTCTTAAATTCTGTCGCTGTAAATGATTGTTAAATTTTGTTTTAGTTAAAACTTCTGATGATATTAGCAAATAAGAAAAAAAGTAGTTAATCATTGTCAATAAATATAATTGTGAACGAGTGACATCTGTCGTTTGATTTAACCTATTCGTTTGTTTGTTTTTCAATAGTTCTTCATATTATTTTATTTGTTATATTTTCTATAGAATCCAATCGATGTAATATAATTGTTTGTTGCCTATTAAATATTAGATATAGTGTCTCATTGATATTGTTGATCAATGGATCTTTGGTATCCGTCTCTAATAATTCCATTATCATCTTCTGTTGGTCAAGAAATTTTTTCTAAGTCACCACATGTTGCTTATGATCGTCTTAATCCACATTTTGAAGTACAAGAACGTTTATCATATTGTGGTATAGCCTGCGCTTCTCTTTTATTAAACACTCTTTTACCTTATCAAAATTGGAGTCAATCAACTATTTATACAAATGTTGCTCAAAATCAAATGTCAAATGGAATAACTCTATCGAAATTATCTTATGCTCTTGAAAGATGTGGTCTCCGATCTATAATTCATTATTGTGAAGATAAAACTATTGAAGAAAAATTTCCTAATTATTAATTATTGGAGACAATTTAAAGAAAAAGATAAAAATCACATTCATTGAGGTAGGCATTTAAGTTTAATTGCTGAATTTAATGAAATAACAGATCACGTTCTCATATTGGATAGAAGCCATACAAGATTTCCTCATTATTGGTTATCAGTAAAAATATTTGATTCAAATGATGTCTACATATGATAAAATGGCATCAAGACCTAGAGGATATTTAGTTTTTATTGATCCTAAAGAGATTGAACAAAATCATTCAATTGAATTTTAAGAATTATTCGTTTTAGTTTCAGTTTCAAACGTAAATCTATAAATAATATAGGTCGAAAGTCAAATTATATTATACAAACGACTATTTAACAAACTCTTTATTATAGATGATAATAATGTCAAAGACTATTTTTTCAAAACATGTTTTATATTGTCATGTTATTGATTTTCAAATACGAATATGTGAGTGTGGGTATATATATATATGGAATATGTTGTCCTTCTTTAACCCACACCGACACTTTTAAATAATAATTTCAATATCAACGAATCAAATGTCGAAGAATTTTACTTCGGAGAGGTAACCGTTGTTGTATTTGCGGTATTCAAGATGAACAGGTAGTTTTCTTTTCTCTTTTATTTGTTTTTTATTTCGTAAGAAAAAAAATAATATGAATACCATTCGATTTTGTTCTGCATTTTATTTGTATAAATCGTCACTTCCTACGGTATGTCTTTTATAGGAAGCAACACAGCAAACTTTTTATTGAATTGTGAGTAAGATATTTGTGTACAGAAATAGCTGAATCTATTCAAGTTGCTCATCGTCGGCTGCACGAATGAAACATTTACTTTAGTTTAAGATTAAACAAAGTATCGTTACGTCACTCATACGGTTGATAATAAAAAGAACAACAGTCATCAATTCATTTCTTAATATTCAATTTAAATAAAATTAAGTTTGAATAATAATGATAGGCAAATATAATTTCATTTCGAGTTTTCGTCTACTTCAATAAGAACTAAGCATGATGTCGATTGATCTATCAAGGCTGTGATTGTAGTTATGTATTCTTTTCCTATACAGACATCTACCCACCCACAAAAAAAAATTGTTTTCATTACGTTACTGCTCTCTCCCACAGTCGTTCGAAGCAACTCATAAGGAAATAGTTTTTCATTTGTTTAGGACGATCTTTTGATAGAAATTAATTTCAAAATTTTCCGATAAACTAGTTCCGTGAAAAATGGTCAATCTTTGAATAACGACGAATTATCGTCCACTTTCTGTTCATGCAAGATATTTATATATATATCAAAAGATAGAGAATTTCAAGTTCTACAAACCTATAGACTTTGTTTTTCCAAACAAGTTGTTCTTGTCGTCGTCAGATTTAAAAGATGAATGCCTACTCAATCGTCCAACTGTGACTGTTCTTTTTTTTAATTCGACACATTCGAAATATTTTTCACTATTCCAGTTAACAGTTACATCATTTTGTTCAGATACATCCAACGGTATAATAATAAATCTTTCATAGAGCAAGTCTGCTTTTTGAAAACATGCTTTTCCAAAGTACATTCAAAAATACCGACAGTCGTTCAATTCGAAATATTTTTCTCCTGAACAATATCATTAGAAATTGTGAGAAGGTTCTGAATGTATAGATTATAAAATTCTCTATTTATTAGTATCAAATAATTTCTGGTATCGACCTTGATGAGCAAAGGCTTACATTAATCAATAAATGTCAGCAGAAAATAGGAAATCGCAGTTGAATGATTGAACAGATCTGAATCTTTCAAATCTGGTGACAACAAGGAAAATTTATTTGAAAAATAAAGTCAACAATTTTGTAAAGCTTGAAATTCTCTATCATTCAACATATGAAGGAGTATTTTTCATGAACAGAAAGTGAACGAAAAAAATTAGTACTATTTATTTTGGTCCATCCGTTAGTTTGCCTGAATAATCAGAAATTATTTGTCTTCCGACAGCTTATTGTAAATAGACAGAAAACTCTGTATTCTTGCGATTATCAGCGTAGTTGTGAAGACTTTAGCCACGTGCTATCACATTCAGACTAAATCCAGAATTTCAAATCAGTTAGACACATTAGTAGTCAATAGTAAAAATGTGGCAAGATCGAACTACAAGTTTTCTAGCTTTTGTATGGAAAACTATGTGGATCATATTGTGAGAAATTTTACCTTTTATACTGCTATGATGGAAGTTGTATGAAAACAAAAACTGCGACTGTTAGTATTGAATTGATGTTTCACTTCTGTGTTAAACAAAAAAAGAAAACCAAAATGCTCATTGTAGTCTTGCCTCGTAGCTTAGAGTATTCTTTCGGATACTAGAATATGTCTAATTCAAGTCTTTGGACGATCTCTGATTGCAAGATTTGATTTCAAGCAAGTCGATGTGCCCTTTTGTCTCTAATAGTTTGTATTAGAACGAGATACATGTAGGTTGTGTAAGAATTCATGTGTCTATTTTCGCAACACTAAGAACGATAGATGCGTTTTTTAAATCGAAAATCGAGTATGAACTTAACTTACAATGTTGTCTTTGGATAATACCCTAATCTCCATCGTTCTAGGCAAAATATTTCTCGAGGAAAGATACCTTATTTTGTGTGAATATTGAATTGATTAATAGTGAGTTTAAATACAAGAATCTAAGTATCGTAATAACGAGCTTAAGACACAACGAATGACGGTTTGCTACTCAGTATATTAATTGCAGTTCACGCTTTGTTATATTTCGACTTCTGACAACTATTAACTGTAATTTTAATAGATTAGTTTTTGACTTTTTCAATTCTTCCATAAAATATTTTAGATTTAACTCTTATGCTCCAATAAGTGAAACAAAATGGACCATTCAAAACTGATTGCAAAGATCTTATTCACAGTGGTAAGTTTTATTCGTTGTTCTGAGAGGACATAATTAGTTACAGCCTGATGAATATAAGATTATCGCTTCACTTCAAAAATTCCTTTCAATTAAGATTTAAAATAAGAATGAGCTTTTCAGTTTTACGAAATAGTTATTAATCTCACATGTATACGAATGAAAAATAGGAAGAGTTCTACACGGTAGAAGCATTTTCATTCTGAACAAGATCTATTCTATGTCAGTCTTGATCACGGCAAATCCTTGCAAATCTAACTTATATTGATTTATAGTCATGTTTGTCATGATCAATAAACAATGAGTTCAATTATAAGGGCTTATTGACGATCGTATTTAAAAAAAAGAAATGACAAGATTTGTGTAATTCATTCACAAGGTGGAATCAAGTGGATATTCGAAACTCTTTTTCAATAGCATAACGATACTTCGAAACCAAATAGCATATTTCAGAATTGTGTGCCATTCTTCTTTACATATAGATGACATCCACAAGCATCATTCATTCGTTTTTTTAGAGATATTTATAGAGTTTTCATTAGATGTATATAATATATCTCACAGTCATTCGGCTATCTTAAAACAAAAGTCTTCGTATTAGAGAGTGATTACTCTCGAAGGTTTCACTCTATTTAACAGAGAAATTCTTATAGGAAATATATTTTTTTTGATTTCTCATGATAGAAAAGATCAATATTATGAGTCAATTGAAAAATTTTCTTCTAAATTGTTTCAATCACTTCTTCGAGTATCTTGCTTAATCCATCTGATAAATATTAGTTAATAGATACGTTTAGCTCTCCAATAAGAGATTGCCTTTCCCTTTTTTGTGTCAAAATATCATAATTTATCTGGTAACGGAATAGACTTTAATTTGTTCTTGAAATCTCACATAATCTATTTTCAAACATCGATCTGAATATGCTTTTGAATGTTTTTCCAGATTTTATTTATCATACTCATTGGTTACTTTTCAAACATGTTATTTAAACAAATTCTCTTTCCAGCACCGTATCCACCCCAATATTCATTAACATCGCATAAAAATAAACTTTTCTGGTTGCCAGCTACCCAAGAAAAGTTGGCAGGATCGCAAATACCCTGTATGCTCTATTCACCAATAGGTGAAGCGAATTTTTTTGTCATCTGGTGTCATGGCAACGGTGATGACATTGGTAGTATAGACATGGCTATGAACACATTGAGTCAACGAATTCAAGCACATGTTATGGCTTTTGAATACCCTTCTTATGGTCTATGTAAGAGATCAATAGAACCTACTGAAGAGACAATCAATAATCATGCCGAACGTGCATATTCGTTTGTACGTGATACACTTCGATGGCCATCCGATCGAATTCTCATCTACGGACATTCAATCGGGAGTGGTCCCGCATGTCATCTTGCTGCTACAAAAGCAGTCGGTGGACTCATTCTAAAATCGCCTTATAAATCTTTAAGTCATCTGATTCAAGAAAAAATCTGGATATTTTCAAAGCTTTTCAGTATTCCAAATTGGAATAATCTGGAAGCCATAAAACATATTCGTTGTCCGATACTCTTTATACATGGGCAACGTGACAATTTGATCCCTTTTCATCACTCAAAAGCGTTGTACAATTCATTAAATCATAATGAGAAAAAGCGATTAGTCTTATTACCAGATGATGATCACAATTCGATACCTGATTCGATATTTCTTATGCATGTGGAAATATTTCTCAGGGAATATTTTTCATCGACAACAGAATCCATGCCTCAAGTCAAAATTTCGTCAGCTTTATTTCATCTGCCACTAATGATTTAACTACCAGCACCAAGAATCATTGCATCTGTAATCAGAAGCTTAAGTGCATTTATGAATGCCGTCATATCGACAGTGCAATCGATCAATGCGAATCTATCTTGGGTGTGGGTGTGGGTGCGGGTATAGATGAGGGTGTGTGGGTGTGGGGTGTGGGTGTGTGGGTGTGGGTGGGTGTGGGTGTGGGGTGTGGGTGTGGGGTGTGTGGGTGGGGGGTGGGTGTTGGGTGTGGGTGTGGCTGGGTGGCTGGGTGTGGGCGTGGGTGGGTGGCTGGGTGTGGGTGTGGGTGGGTGTGTGTGGGTGGGTGGGGTGTGGGTGTTGGGTGTAGGGTCCTGCGGGAACGACTTTTTCCCGTGTTTTCCCGTCCCGTTTCCCGCGGGAATCGGGAACGGGAATTCCCGTGAGACCTTAGGAACGGGAATGCGGGAACGGGAATTCTGGTGGACACTCCGGGAACGGGAACACGGGAACGGGAATTGTATTAAAAATTTCTGTTCCCGGCAAACCCTATGTCCGATTTCTGTTTGCATTAAAATCTGTTAATCTTACAGTATTCGATTTCCAATAACCATTTGAAATATAATTGAAAAGAGAACAAATATCAGTGAACAAAATCAGACAAGTTCATTCAAACATAGATTATGAGAATCACGATATTCTTTACCACCATCGTCGTCGTCGGCATCGAAGTTGGGATCATCAAGATTACATATATGTCAAACTTGAAACTTGAATTCAATTGAAATTTCAAGTTTCAAGTTTCAATAGGTTTATGAGCCTTGAATCAGAAATTTACTTTTAATATACGGAATCTTGTATTGTGAGAAACATGATGTCGCTAAAAGCTAGTATCAAGTAGGAGTAGTGTTGATGAATGTGAATAATGAAATCATTGTAGCTATTCTCAAAGCATTACGGGAACGGGAATACGGAACGGGAACGAAACTTTTGTTACGGGAACGGGAATACGGGATCGGGAACGAAAATTTTTGTTACGGGAACGGGAACGCGGGAACGGGAACAAAAATTTTCAATACGGGAACGGGAACACGGGAACGGGAACCAAAAAAAGTTGTTCCCGCAGGTCTCTAGTTGGGTGTGGGTGGGTGGGGTGTGGGTGTTGGGTGTGGGTTGTGGGTGTGGGTGAGAATGTTTGCATGACTGTCGTATTCAGAACACCCTCACGCTCGTACCTAAACCTTCACCCGCACAGACACACCACACACACCCGCACACCCACACCTATCCACATCCACACCCACATTCACACCCACACACGACACCCCACAGCCACACCCACCCACACCCACATGCACACCCCCACTCCACACCCCACACTTCACACCCACCCACACCCACATGCACATCCCCACTCCACACCCCACACTTCACACCCACCTACACCCAAGATGTTCAGACTTTATATGTCAAATCTATATAATGATGAATATTAAGCAAAGACCAACCAATCGTTGTAAATCTCTCAGAATTATCTTATAAACTCATTCTCACATATTCATGCTCACTCTACCATTAGCCTAGTTTTCTAAAATAAGTCTTTCAGTTTTTAACGTACTTATCGATGTAGCATGCTTAAAAGCCATTTTGCATCTCGTCACCATGATAAAGCACGATAGAAGGCAATACACAATGTTACTTTTGTTTCTCTTGTGGCAGGAAACAAAACATTCTGTCGACGGTTTCTCAAGCGACCGTCTCCGACCATGTCGAGAGCGAGAAATAATGCATTTTATAAAGAAATTCAATTTTTTTTTATTGCATTCTTCAGCAGGCATCTGCTGTGGACGAGAACACAAAACAGCACCGCTAAGAACGCCATTATATTTTTAGATGACGACAACATCGTTGCACACTTCACCACTCTTTCGATTTCGGCGCCAGTTTGACGATGAAAATGACTCAATTCCGATTGACTTTTTTGTTCGCTCAGAAACGTCGTCGTCGATTCTTAACGGAGACTTTCTCTGGTTTCAACTATTTGTCGAGGTTCTATTGCGAATGATCGACCATGAAAAAGCTAAACAGGAACTGGTCGATCTATGTCTTCTACAGTATCAGGATGATATCGTGGAGAAACGGAAAATTCATGAGTTCGCTGCGAACTACGTTTCATCTGACGCCATTAAATGGTACACACGGGACTGCTTTATTTATCGAATGGTCAATAAAGCCTTACGACAACAAGATATGGATACTTTGTATGCCTTTCGAAGACTAATTATCGACATTCATGAACAGTTGCAAAATCTTCATAAACAAGCAACATCGACACAGCCGATTCAGCACTTCTACCGTGGTCAGTTAGTGTCGCGTCAAGAATTGGATCAATTTCAGCTCAATATCGGCAATTTCGTTTCCATGAAAAGTTTCTTGTCGACAAGTATCGATCGACAAATGGCACTTGCTTTTGTTGGGCAACGAGATGGATTCTGTAGTGTTCTATTCGATTTGCAAGTTGATCAGCGATTAAGCGGAGCGAAGCCATTTGCAGATATTACATCGATGAGTTATTACCGAGATGAAGAAGAAGTCCTTTTCATGCTTGGAGCCATATTTCGTATTTGTCTGGTTACATTCGATTCGCAAGCAAATGTTTGGCACATCGAACTTGAACTGTGCAGCGATGATGATAGTGACTTGAAGCCATCTTTTGATAGTCTGAAGGAGGACATTGACGATGAGACAAATTTGTACGAACTGGGAAGAATTTTCTGGAATATGAAACATTTAGATGCATCTGAACGATGTTTCAACGAACTCTTAAAACAGGAACATTCCAATGTTCACATTATTTCTGGCTGCTATTTACTCTTGGGTAACATTGCTGCCGATCGAGGACAGTACAATGAAGCCGTGGCATATCATCGACGCGCACTAGAATTAAAGCAGGAGACATTGTCTAATGATCATCCACATTTACCGTACTCTCACAATGGTCTCGGAGAAGCATTACGTCAGCGCGGTGACTTCGACGAAGCACTCATACATTATCAGAAAGCTTTGGATCTCTGGCGGAAACAGTACGGTGGCGATGATCATGAGAATGTGGCCATGTGTTTACATAACATCGGCACTATCCACGGAGAGCGAGACGAACTAACAGAAGCGCTTAAGTATTTTTTTCAAGCCTTGCAAATCATGGACCGATGTTTACCAAATATTCATCCGATGGTTGCAAAAACTCTAAAAAACATTGGATCAGTATTCGGTCTGTTTGGACAAAGCGAACAAGCTCTAAAAGCATTTGAAAGAACACTTGCTATTCAACAGCAATGCTTACCATCTACCCATCCAGCACTGGCAGATACTCTACGAGATCTGGGCATTTACTATGTGAATCATGGCAATCTACCCCAAGCACTTAACTACTATCATCGAGCAAAATTTATACTGAGTCAGACCTTAGCGGTCACCCATCCTTTGTATGTACAGATTCAAAACGATATTGTAGAAGCTCAACTCGCTCTAGAATCTTCAATGAATGGCGATGAAAACGACGTTTAATGAAAATTCCATTTAGAACCTTGAACAGTCAGTCAATGAGAGAAAACATTTTTGTGAAACACGATATTAAAAGAGTGTTGAAATATAAAAGTGAAATTCTTGGACATTCCTTCCTACTCCTCGCATCTCACAGACCGTGACACGCGTCAGTATGAAACCATCGCGTACATGATCGACATATTATCAGCGAGCGTGATAGACATGTTAGCTATGCTCTCTATCTTCCATCACATACCTTGATCGACACATTACCAAAGATTGTGACAGATACTTTACTTTTGCCGCGCTTCCTTCTCATGGATCATAATAGGCATACTCGCAATAAAAAAGTCTTCTGCAGGATTAGCATGAACTAGGGTGTGGGTGTGTGTGCGGGTGTGGGGTGTGGGTGTGAGGTGTGCCTGTGGATGGGGATGTGGGTGTGCCTGTGGGTGGCTGGGATGGGGGTGTGGATGTGGGTGCGAATGTTTGCATAACTGTCGTATTCAGAACACCCTCATGCTTATACCCAAACCTTCACCCGCACAGACACACACCACACGCCGGCCATACCCCACCCACACCCACATCCACACCCAACCATTAAACAATTGTAATTATGATAAACATTTGAATGATCTACAAAACGAACTTGAAGTTTATAAACTTAAGTACCAACTTGAAATTGAAAAAGTCAATAATAAAATACAACAGTATTCAACAGATGCTCAAAAGTTATGCATAATTATGCAAACACAAATTAATACACAAAAAGAAATAATTGATTCAACATTATCAGCTGTAAATGATTTAACATTAAATATAAATAAAAACATTATTAACATCATAAATAATCTTGTTCAACTACTCAACGATCTTACACCACATGATCAAACAAAGAACAACTTGAGTAAGTTAAAAGATGATTTAAAAATACAGCATCATTATATATGTGAAAGACAAACAGCATATAACAACCATATACAAAATCTTGAAAAACTATGGCTCAAGCAATCCAACAATACGACTGAATTACTCGACTTATGTTTATACAGCAACACAATGATTAGTAAAGACTTTAAGTATTCGCCGACACAAATAAATTTTGACTATGTAAATCAGTTCCAAGGAACAGAAGAAGATAGAAAAGTAATAGGTGAGATGATTAAGGAATGGAACGAACGTGTTTGTGTTTCACAGTTAAATACCAAATGGTATAAGACAAGACCAACAAACTCAGTTGGAAACTTACTCCTCGTATTGTATAATTGCGAATGTTTAAGTACACATCTGTCTGATATCCACTTGATTATAAAGTTATATACCCCACAGATAGTCATACTAACAGGAGTTGGCTCAATGATTCATACTATGCCCTTTATTCCCCAATATTATTGGCATAGCCAAAAAGGTAGCAATAGTTTCTGTGGTGTTGCGTTTTTAATACATAATTCACTGAAATCTAAAGTAATCAATAAACAAAATAATTTTATCTTGAT